ATATAGTTCAACCAATGAATCATGGGCTTACATGTTTTAAAATATGTGGCCAGATTTTTCATCGTGTAGGTAATCTTAGGCCTGATCAAGATATTCCACTAATATATTCTCAACGATATATTTATGATCCACTTGCTGCACTAAATTTTAGAATGCAAAACTGTGGTAATGATTTTTGTTTACGTGATTTAATGTTTCATTTGGAAACTATAATTATGGAACAAAGTCCATTTGCTCTTACATTTAAAAACATGGCTGAAGTAGAAGATGAAGAAATTCTTAAGGCGGCTATAGAAGGTCGCTCAGCTTCTTTTGTAAAAATGTCTTAACTTGAAGGCGGTGATAGACGTCGTTATAATCTACCTTCACATGATGAAGTTGCAGTTGTATTTGTTGGCGAAGATGGTGCTCCCCCAACTTCCAGGAAAGTTATTTTTTACTCAAGAGGTCATCCTTTAAAAGTTGTATCAAGTATGTCAGCCAACATGGACCTATGGTTTATCCGCTATTAGAGGTGATGCTGGTTGGCATAATCAATTAGTGCATAACCCTGAGCGTGCTAAACTGGTTAAAAACCATGTTACATTATCTCAGTTCTACAATTATAGACTTTCTGTTAGGCAATTTTTCTGTTCATTATCTTATGGAAAGAAATTATTTCAGCAATATGCTGTAGATACATATGTAAAAATTGAAGGCCAGCGTCTTGCTTTTAACAGAAATAATCAAAATAAGCTGAGAAGCGAGCAGTATGATGCTTTACATGAACATATTAACAACATTGCCAATGATCGTAATATTAGACCAGGACGAGTAGTAGATTTGCTATCATCTTATGTAGGAAGTCCTAGAGCTTTAAAAGAAAACTTTGAAGATGCTATGGCAATTATTAAAAAGTATGGTAAACCAGATCTTTTTATAACTTTTACTTGCAACCCAAAATGGCGTGAAATAACAGAAAATTTTTATCCGGGTCAGAATGCGAATGATAGACCTGATTTTGTTACTCGAGTATTTAAACTCTAGTAAAATAACCTCCTCAATGATATATTCAAACATGGTGTATTAGGCAAAGTTGTAACACATGTTCAGGTTATTGAAATTCAAAAGCGTGGTTTGCCGCATGCCCACATTTTACTTCATTTAGCAAATGATGATAAACTTGAAACACCGAGTAAGTTTTCTTTCATTTTGTTATAAACAAATGTTATAAATTGCATTTATATGTTTGTTAATTTAAATTAACTTTACAATATTAAAATGGTTTAAACGAGCTTTAAATTTTTGTAAATGAATTTAATCCTCAAAGATTAAATTTTTTTTATTATTAAAGAAATTAAACTAGATTTAAGAATGAGTCGACTTAAATGTTTGTTTGTTTTTCTATTTAGATGATGACAATATTGAAGCAAGTAAGTTTAAAAGCATTTTTAAATTTTTAAAAAGAAATAAAAATACTTTTCAATATATATCTGTTTTCTTTGAGGTAGATTTAAAATTTCAGGTTTTTAAAATCATATATATTATAAAATTTAAGAATGAGTCGACTTGAATGTTTATTTGTTTTTCTATTTAGACCTTGGTAATAATATTGAAACAAGTAAGTTATAAAGCATTTTCAAATTTTTAAAAAGAAATAAAAATACTTTACAATATATATCTGTTTTCTTCGAGGTAGATTTAAAATTTCAGGTTTTTAAAATCATATATATTATAATATTAAATTCATTTTTACTTTAAAAATAACTATATTATAGTTACACTGAGTCGTAGAAAAATACTTAAAGTTTATTAACAAGGCAGTAGATTATTAAAGTAGATTAAATTGTTTGATCTATTTAATCAACTTAATAACGTATATAATAACTAAATAAAGTGAAGATTTATTTTGGTTGTTTTTTTGTTAAAATTTAGTTAGAGTTTATTTAAAATTTAAATTCTTTAGTTAATCAAGAGAGATCTAATAAAGGTATTAATTACATTAGTTGAATGTGGCATTTAATATGTATTTTATTGATATTTTAACGTCTAAACATTAAAGTGCTTTTGTTGTTTAGATACAGAAGTGAAGAAGGAAATATTTTTTTTTTTGCTATTAGATATTTGTTAATAGGAATTTATTTATTTGTACTGCCACTGGAATTTTAAAAAATCAAGTTATTTAGCTTTATTTTATACTTTCTTTTAGGGGAGTTGGAACAAAAACTAAGTATAAATTATGATTAGTTTTTATTATTAGAATTTAGTTTAATAAATAAAGCATTAATATTTAGAAGATTTAAAGTTTACTTTAGTTTATAGTTTTGGTTAAGTTTATAGTTTTGTTTTTAGCTTTAGTTATTTTTTTCTTACTTTAGACAACTTTATGGATGAAATAAGGGGGATGGGTAAAGCAATTATTTAGATATGTATATATTTATATGTTAACATTATTTTATCGATTATTTTATATTTAAGTATATATTTGTCTTTAGTGTCTGGTGAAGGTATAGCTGGTAGGGCTGTGTTTTATATTTTATACGTTTTGTCTGGAGAATTATGGGCAATAGGTGGAAAAATTAATTAATAAATATGACACTTTTGAACTGGTTGCATTATTGCCCTATATATTTATTAAAATACAAAATGTTGCAAGTTTAACCCTTCTTAATTTGCTCTCTTTATATATTTATTCCTTTATTGTTTTTTTATAAACAAGTTTCTGCTGGATTACTAATTAAAAAAAAGGTTGGTTTAATAATAATCTTTATCATAATAATATATGATCCGTATGCAGGGCTAAAAGGGCCCTTTTCGGAATTGCGATATAGTTTTCAACTTATAATTTTTCCGGATGTCCAACTTCTATGCCTACAAGTTTGGGTGTAATATTTTAGATGTTTTAAAAATATTTAAAAAGTATATTAAAAATGTTGAAAAGTTTTGGTGCGATAGTGACATATTTTTAGGCTCTTCACTCAGTAAAATGAAAAGTTTAAAAAAAAAAAGAAACGACTCAGCTTAAAGCAAAATTAAGAGTAGAATATATTCCCAATATTTACCTAAACAATTTTACGGAATTTTAAAATAATTCAAGTCATTTTTAACCACTACTTGGTTGTGATTTGCGCATTTAATGTTTGAACATTGCAAAAGAAATGATTAACTTTATCTTTAATGAAGCTAAGAGTTCTCATAAACTAAGAAGCCAAGAAAAATATAAGTGAGCTCAACTAAAAAAATGTATAAATAAATATATATTTGATTAGAGAAAGTAAATAAAGATCAAATTGTTAATAATGATTTATTTACTACTAACCCGTATTACGGGTTGCTTACTGTATAAATAAATTTATATTTTATTAGAGAAAGTAAATAAATATCAAATTGTTGGTAATGATTTATTTACTACTAACCCGATTTACGGGTTGCTTACTGCTTGTTATTTATTATTATAATAATACATTTATTTTTTTTGTAGATTTTTGCGAGGTCTTTTCAAGCGTGAGGCCGTCGGCAGTAGCCGACATCGCCAATGCCTAATGCTACCACTGGTCACAAGTAATAACAAATTAAATATGGACAATATCATACTTTATCATTTTTTTTTTTCTATAGCTGTTAGATTTTAGGAACTTCCTTTGAGTTTAGTTTTTGCACCTTCCATTCTCTTAACGCTATAATCACTTCATGTCATAGTTTTTTTATAAAATTAAAACGTTGTACCATTACTTTAAATAACAGATTGATGTTGAGCGAAAACTTTTCCATGGAAATAACCTGATAATCTAGTCGCGCTGTTTCTTTTGTGGGTGATACAGCGACTTAAATTAAAAAAAAAAAAAATTAAATTTTCTTTTTATTTTATTAAGTATTATTACTCGACTTGATTTTAATAAGCTCTCTTTTGGCTGTCTCTAATATTATCGTCGTGGTATATTGGAAGCTTGATCCTAGACATTAATTTTGGCAGCTTGGCGCTCTATATAGTGCTCTACATAATCAAGATCTCAGTTTTCTGATATAAACTTCTTTTGACAGGATCCAGCCAAGAAACTATGTGGCTGGTTGGCACACAATTATTTCTATTAGCCACATGATGATTATAATAGATCCGCTCTTTGCTTATCATTTATATTTTTTATTCAGAATATCAAACGTCATATATTATTCATTAGCAAACTTTTTCTTCAAACATATTTTATAAGCATCCAAAAATTTTTATAATTTTTTTTGTGATTCCAGATTGGGATGTTAATGGCAAATTAAATATTATATTTCAGAGCTGCTCAAACAATTTCCATAATAATTCCAGTGCAGCTTACATTGGGGGGGGGGGGGGCATTGTTTTTATTTACTTATTGGTGATAACTGTCAAGAATGTACACAAAACAACATAGAACTGTAATCTTTCATGTTTTTTACATCTTATTTTCTTATATATATTTTGGATTTTTTATCTAATTTTATACCTTTAAAGTACATTATTATGCTTGATTTTTGTTCAATCATTTATTATTTATTAAAGTGTTGATAGAATAAAAATATTTTTAATAAAACATGTTGTAAAAAAGAATTTATCAGCTGATATAAAATTCAACTCAACTTTATAGAGTCACCTGACTCAAATATGTTATTTTGTATTTAATGTATTAATACATTTGGATAATATTTTTATTTATAGACAATAAAATAATATTTCATTTTTACTTTTAAATATTCATTTATAAACAAAACAAAAAGCTCTAAAAAACCACGTGAAATATTGATCCTTTTTTTTTTACTAGTTATCTTTCTCTCTTGCTAGATTTTACATCTAATTTTATGAATTCTAGAATTTTATTTTTTCTCTGCATCTCTAAGCATGTATAGTATGTGCATCTAAGAATGTCTAACAAAACTTTATTTTAGGTTTAAAAAAATATTAAAAGACAACTAATGCCAAGATTAATCTTTAAATTGTCAGCTAGTTTATTGTAATGAATATACAATATAATAAAACTATTTAAAAAGTGATTTACCTGTTTCATCTCAAAACTGTTAGGAAAATCTATATTCTCTATAGAAAAATCATAACTGCTGTAATCAGGCTCGTTAATCATTATGCTTGAAATTGGTTCAGGATCTAAACAACCATCCAAAAGAGTTAAAATAAAAAACAGATTGAAAATTTTGTTATAAAATCATTTATTACTTTTATCATCATTATAACTACAACTATTGTAATAATTAATACAATTATTTTATTTTTAATATTGTAATTCAAATTTTATTTGAAAAAAAAAAATGATTATAATTGTACCTAGTAGTGCCAACGTGCATTTTAAACAAATCCAAATAGTAAAAACAAAATGTTAATGAATATGTGGCAAAGAAAAGTTTCAGTTATTTATTAATAATAAACTTTATCACCTATTTAATATAATTATTCACCAATTTATATATATATACATATATATATACATTATATATATATATATATATATATATATATATATATATATATATATATATATATATATATATATATATATATATATATATATATATATATATATATATGTATATATATATATATATATATATATATATATATATATATATATATATATATATATATATATATATATATATATATATATATGTATATATGATATATATATATATATATATATATATATATATATATATATATATATATATATAAATATATATATATATATATATATATATATATTTATATATATATATATATTTATATATTTATATATATACATATATATATATATATATATATATATATATATATATATATATATATATATATATATATATATATATATATATACATATATATATATATATATAAACTATATATATATACATATATATATATATATATATATATATATATATATATATATATATATATATATATATATATATATATATATATATATATATATATATATATATATATATAAATATATATATATATATATATATATATATATATATATATATATATATATTAAATAATTTTTTATATATATATACATATATATATATATATATATATATATATATATATATATATATATATATATATATATATATATATATATGAAAAAGATGACAATGAATTTTATTCATAAATATAAGATATTGCACCAAAATTAAGATAAAACTTTTAAGATAGGGATCCAGCAACATGGCCAAAAATAACAGGTAAAGTAAGATGTTTATTGATTTAGCATAAATTAAAGCAAGAAATGAGAGATTTTTTCTCAAACACTCAATGTTTTTTTGATAATAGAGTGCGACACCTCAGCACAAAATGGTTTAAAAAATCATTCTAATCCCAATGCAAAAAAAACTTTTGCTATACGCTACTGTGCAGCAATAAATAAGATTCAATGTTTTGTTTTTGCTTTTTGTCATTTTCAACAAAAAAAAAAAAAAAAAAAAATTTTAAAACTTTAATAGATTTTTTTGAGTGGTAAAAACTAAACCCAAGAATTACTAAACATGGAAATAGAAATGAACAAGTTACTGTTTTGATTAAAAATCTTCCTTAAAAACCTTGATGAAGAAATAACCATAAATTTTGAACCTCATAATGATAAATAAATATCAGCAGATAAATAAAAAAAATTGAGAGACATCTTGAAAGTGATTGCTGACGCAACTTTGTTCTGTGCCAAAAACAATCTGGCCTACTGGAGGATAATAGAAACTATTAATCAAAAAATTGAATAGTTTTGAACTTGATCAAGTTAATAAGCCAATGTTATTGATAAATGGTTAAACGCATTGTATCTGTTAGAGCAACAAAAACCACAACGTCCTGTTTTTCTCATAGCACTTAAGCTTACATCCATTAATATGTAAGACAGCAAAATTGTTTCTATAGGCAGCTCACACTTTTAAACTTGTTGTTGAGAATGCTGTTAAGGTTTTACCCTTATATAAAAACTAATTTCTTAGGCTCGGAGTCGATAGTTTTAAATAATTTTTTATGTATTGTCTAAAGATTGTTGGTACTCTGTTAGTTGTTAATACCAGCGGACCACCTCAAATATAACCTTTTACTAAAAGGAATGGTAAAGACAATAAAGTTTAATGACAAACTCTTGTTAGGGTATCAGAATGCTTGCCAAATGTTGAACGTATGGTGCGGTCACTGATTAATTTAAATGGTGTTAAACTAATTTGGACTTGCAATATAAAGTTACAAATATAATTTTTGAGATTCCTACCCGTTCAAGTATGCATCCTTGTATATAGCGTGTTGTTAGATTCAAGTGTCTTCCCAAATCTGAAAATTGTAAAACACTGGGCTTAATTGAATTTAGCCTCAAGTCTTTTAAGCAATTTGGCAGTAATTCTGATCGTGCAAAATTGTTTAGCAATGTCGTAAGAAAACAAACCATAAGTGGGCATAACAATTTTTTTGATTGTGGAAATATTCCGACTAATGTAATTTCATTTCTTTATAAGTGTTATCAATAATCTTTTCAAGATATTTAAAACTTGTGTAGAAGATAAGTGGTCAGCTACCCTTCACATTAAACTCAGCCGTTTCACGGAGGCCAGTACGAGGAAAATAAGTTCATAAATCTTTTTAAAAATGTAAATGTGCTTTAGAAACTTGCTAATACTAACTTAGTTTTCAACTTTTTTTTCCATTAATTGAAGCATACAAAGGTTTCAATTTAGTTGCAAAAGTTTGTTTTGGATTTATTCTTCAGCTGGTTTTTGCTATTGCTATTTTTGCTATAAAATAATTAAAAATTTCGAAAGGTGTTTCTGATAATTGGTGCAAACTTAAAACCCATAATTCATACGGTCTTTTATAACTTCAAAGATTTCGTCAATTGCAAAAGTTCTCCCTTGAGGCTAGTGAACAAAGTGTCAAAACTGCTGATCAAGACTTTTATAAACATTTTTCAATGTATAAACGAAACAGTAATCATTCAGAGTACAAAGAATATATGTTGTGCTGCATAACTAATCTAAGCAGTAAGCATCTTAAAAGATTTTTTTTTTTAAAACACTTTAATTTTCATTTTAGCAGTAGTTTTTACTTTAAAAAATGTTAAGATATTTTTCCTGCACATAAGCCGATTTAAAACTTAACAACTTACATAATGAGGAATTGTTAAATTTACTTTGCAAGGGTGTAGCGAGAGTTTATGCACCCAGAGCAAAAATGTAAAAAAGCGCCTTTTTTACAATAAAATTAAAAAAATATTGCTTTTTATATTAAAATAAACTTTTTTTGTTTGCTTCTCATTTTTAGGCCCCTCTTTAAGCCTTCGCGCCCGGGGACATTTTCATACTTGACTCCCCACTACATTTCTGAGTTGGTAAAAACAAATAGCAGATACTCAAATAAAAAAATAGAAACATTTTTTACACAAATTGTTCACTTAATACAATTTAATGATAAAAAAATGCTACAAAACAAAACTTTGTTACAGGCAAGTTGTTTTTGTTAATTGTTTGTTTTATTTTTCTTTTAGCTATATTTTAAGTACAAACAATTAGGCGTAATCATTTACGATTTGCCTTCTTTACTCTTTATGAAATTATAGAGTGTTTGAATAAACAATAAATTCGTTTTCTGTTAAAAAATGTTTAGAATTGTAAAACTACAAAAAAAGCGTTGAGAATTTCTTCAAAACAAAACATACAAAATCTTATTTTGCTTATAAACACGAGCAACTAAACATATAATTTTTTTATATAATACGAGGCAACTTGTTAATAAATTTGTATTTGAATTCGCTATTCGGCGCGTTACGCTATTGAAAAGATATAGGAAAGTGTCAGAGGATTTTTAAAAATGTTGTGTGATATTTTTAACGATTTAAGAAGCAGATTTCAACAAACATAAAACACAATGCATAAAAAATAATGTCAAAAGCTATTGTAGTTATCACGCGAAATGCATTTGTATATAGCTCATTTTCTAGCTCTTTTAAAAAAAGTTTTATTTTACCAGTAAAATATTGATTTTGATTGTTAAAATAATGAAAGTCTTTTCACTTGAAAAAAAAGTTATTTATTTATTAATATTGTTTGGTTATCTAACTGCCCATTAAAAATAAAATGAATACCCTAGAAGAAATGTATTTTAAGATATAAAAGATCTTAAGTTAAACGAAAATATGCGCAAAACTTATGTTCAATTTGATTTTCAAACTGAGCGCAAGTGACAAAAATGCCCTTTGAAACAGCCGTGATGTGTACGCTTATGTAAGTGGCGCTCTTATGTCGGCTAGGTTGAAACTATCAAGCTCACCGTGAGCTGCGTCAAAATTATTAACAAAATAGTAAAAGCCACAACAAAAAGTCATATTTAATAACTCAGATGAAAAGAAAAAGAAGAATCTTTAAAATTTAATTCTTTATTTTTTTATAAATGTATTGAATCAACCCCTAACTTTCTATGAAAGTTGCATACTGACTTATCATAAGATTAAAAATAAAAAAAAAAAAAGTGAGTTAACACAAACACTCATTTACAAATAAAAAACTAAACAATCTAACAATCCTATCCAAATCTAAATGACTAATTTAAAGTAAGCTCAAAAACAACACCCATCAAGTCATCAACTAAAAAAGTTCCCGCGTATAACAATGTCATAAAAAAATGCTTACTTTGCCACCACGAAAATCTTTTATCAATTTTATAAAAAAGTATTTTAGAATTGTTAGACAAAAATATGAAATAACTTTGTAGTGTGGTCACAAAGCCAAGTTTTAGTTTAACAACCACAAAACCAAAAACTATAAGATTAAGAAATTGATGCATGCTTGCAAACAATAACAGCTTTATAAATGTTTTGGCACGTTCCTTAAATATATTAAAAGTAAAACAATTTTAACGAAATAAATAATGTATTTTTATCTGATAATTGTTAACGTACTAGGCCGTTTTTTCTAGTTGGCACAGTTGGCACTAGAGCTTACGAACAATTAGTGCCGACAAAACAATTGAATATATTTTTGTTTTTTTTTTCTTTAGTGAGTAAATAAAAATAGAGAAAAAAAAGTGGTAAAACAGAATTCAAAGTCAATTAAATCTATAAATAGAAATTATTTTAGTCAAGTTGCTAC